AAGTTACATGAATTTTTGGTGCTCGATATATTTGTCACGTGATGTTCGAAACTTTTTTGGGTGGCGATTTTACCCCGGTCTAATTGATATATCGCGATTATTAAATCACATGATCTGAATTTTTTTTGGGTGGTGATTAACCCCGGTTGTTAGATTTGGGCAATTTTAATTTGGGCTGTCCCAATTGGCAACCGGGAGAGGATTGTCATTTGGGGTCAAAAGAATTTTTAATTGATTTGATTGATCAATAATCACGTTTGGATCTACATCAATTAGCCAATCACACGAATGTTATAACCCATGATTTTCCGTAAAAATACGAGTTTCTGCTATGCTTAACTCACCACGTTATTTTAAACAAAAAAAAAATAAAAAATAAAAACCACAATATTACTAGAAACTCTGTAGGTTATAGAAAAACCGTTTCATTATACTAGACCCATTATTAAATAAATATTTTAATCCATTTAGAAAAACAATATAACTAAATAAGCAATAACGTATCGTAATTGCAATGATAAAAAAATAAAAAAGTGATATTATTGAACAATTATTTATAAACTTGTATTTTATTTATCTTTATTGTCATTGTTATTTTATTAAAAAATAATTTAATTGCATAAGAACATGATAAATGTCAGATATAGTTTGAAATTTTTTTGGATGACGCTTTAACCCAATTTACCTATCTCTACATTATGCGCAAGTAATAAGCATGCAGATTTTTTATCTTTATCCATGCAAGCATCGAAGGAATCCACGATCAGGGTACTTACATAGAAGTTACAAAATAGAGATGTGCCGCGTACAGTACAGTACGCAAAAAAATTTTTTAGAATATTCTAGAACAAATCATGAAAGTATCCCTAACTCAAATTTTTGACTATGAAACTTTCTTTTGCACTCCAACAAAATTTTTCCTTGCAAAATGTTACATATAACTGATTTATAAATTCTACGTGTATTATGTATATAATGTATGTTATACGTACACACTATACAACTACGTATGCGTATTGTACGTGCTGTACGTGCTGTATGCGAAAAAAATTCAAGTATCATATAAATGGCACATCACTAGTTACAATTGCAAAATAATGCAAGTCTGATTTAGGATTTAATTTAGCCGGCAATAAGATTAAATTTGGCCAGTAATAAATGGAAAAGTAAAAAAGGACATTTTTCAAAATAATCCGAGTAGAAAATGGATAGACCTGAGAAGTAATGCTAAATTCATAGAGAGGCCGATTCTTATTCAGTACTAAAATATATAAGTTACTGTTATGTAAGTTGCATCAGTTAAATATAACTTACGCAAATTACCCTCATTAGCATTTAATCTTGGCTTTACGACAGAATTTTCCATTTTTTAATGCGTGATGATATTTTATAACAGAAGATTATCATCTTTATGTAATTATTTTAAATGCATAAAATATTTCTATTTTAATTTGAATTATTTTTTAAACGTCAAACTAAATTCCCTTATAAATGAAGTGAAATTTTGAGTGTTTGATCGAAGTAAAGAATTCATTTACGAATTACCAAGGTAATCGCAACGATTATACTACGAGACATAGAATGTTTGCTATTGGAAACGTTATAACTGCTATTTCAGATTGCACCCTAATAACAGTGGCAATAGGATTCATAACTACAAACCAATATTTCTACACTACGATCAGCTTGTAAACTATTGATATTTCTCCATACTTATAATTTATTTAAATTTTTAGCATAATACTTCATTACACAATTATATTATAATAAATAAGTGTAATTAGTTATTTCGATAATTACTTTTTAATAATATTGAAAGCTATTTTTTTATTATATTTTCAAGATAATTGTCTTATTTTTTTCTGAGCATAAACACGTACTCGTGAATTAAAAGATTCAAATTCTATTAATTCATTTCCCATATTTTTAACAAGTTCGTCATATTCATCATTTGAAGCTCCAATTACACTCATAAGTTTTGGTTTCATAGTCATGAGGGCAGTAGTATAATTTTCATATGACTAAATAACAGTAAATTATAAATTCTTTTGACCGTATAGAAGCAAATATTAAATGATTAGATTAAAACTTGTACATTACCAATTTGCATAATTTGGCATCATCTTTACCATCTAATTTTTTCTTTATTTCACAATGAACTTCATGAAGTTGCTCATGCTCTTCTAAAAAGCCTCGTATTTTGTAGCATACAGTTGGATCCAAACCACGTTCATCAAACATAATTAATACTAAAAAAAACGCATATAAAATCAGAATTTTATACAGTAAAAGTCATATTGATAGATGAATTAATATGACCCTTACTGCCATTAATTATCCTTGTTGTTGCAGGTCCCATAATACTATATTGAAAGTCGCTTTCTGCTAACTAAAAAAATTAACAGGTTTTTAACAATTTTAAATAAGATATTTAGGTAAATAATATATACCTCTATATAACCACCGGGTTTTAACACACGAACTAGCTCATTAACAACGGTGGGCCAACTCTTCCCAGGAATTCCAACATACAGTATTCGTTGAAATATATAATCGAATGTATTATCGTCAAATGGTAAAGGCTCTAATACATTTGCTTCAATAAATCATTTTTAGGTTTAATAAGGTCTGGCTGAACTGGTGAAATGTCCATTCCAATAAATTTTGCTTTCGGATAATTAGATGCCATTTCAAGTAACCAAGAGCCAGCACCTGTTCTAAAGCAATTATTAAAATAGTTATAATAATCATATTAGCTACAAAAATTTAAATCACATAGTAATGTTCAACATCATATATTTTTTATAGTAATTTCGTCATTAAATACAAGACTAAGTTAAAGTTAAAATAAGGTTTGAAATTAGGGTTTTAAAAGTTAGGACTAGAGATAAGATTAGAAAATGGTTTTTCATGATGCCAAATATTTTTGCTTCAAGCATCAAGTATTAATTGCTTAACTAGTTTTGGTTAAACTCCACTAGTGTGATTTAATAAGTCCGATTAATTATTATTATTGCTATTATTATTAATGTTATTATTATTGCTATTATTATTAGTGTTATTATTATTGCTATTATTATTAATGTTATTATTATAGAATAACTCACCCTACATCCAGAACTTTTGTACCTTCTTGGTTGAGAAGATGATCAACAGGGGCGAAAAAGTTACTTTGCCAAACATATCTCTCTATAAAATGCTGTAAATGTAATCTCTCACATTCATCCTCATCATTAGGTAAAAAGTATACCGCACCCTTTACATTATGAAATCTTCTACCATCCTCGAAACAAAATTTATTAGGATCATGACTGTTTTGTGAGTTAATATTTTTTGAGTTTAAGCCGTTAAAATTAAGAGAAAATGGTGATTTACCCTCTCTGGTTTTACTATTGCATAAACCCATCTTGATAGAAATATTTTAATATCGTGATTGTAGTTTTTATTTGTTTCAACAGTGATCAATATGTCGTTGTATGATTTATTAACCATCCCAAACTAGGATAAGGCTTGCACACATAATATGTGGCTGACAATAATTTTGCAACCTTACAACCATTTTATCTTAGTTTTCTTAGTTATACTTAGTTATGCATCCTAAAATCTAACTATCCCTCATTTATAATTTCATAATTATGTGATCCAAACTTTAAAGCCCTGCATTATGTATTCTAGGCCAATCCCGAACAGTGGTAACCTCTTATCAACTGGAGATTGAATCACACATCTATTTTTATAACAATCAATAATTATTTATATGGTCCTTATTTTGTCACTGCATATACTTAACTTATTAGGAATCTTTCAATAGCATTTGTAAAAACGTATAAACTATCCGTTCATTTCACAACATGCGTTATTTTAAAAAAATGATGAGTTTTAGGCATTTAGGTCATTGTTGAATGACGGATTATCTGCAAGTGCACGTACGTACGTACGTCATAATTTTTATGACATATGTCCTCAGATATATTTAAATGGCATTTCCGATTGGACGAGGTAGTTACACCTCTGTTTACCAGTTAAATTAAAATACTTTCAAAATTTGCAGTATATTACTTCTCGGAAATCAAAACTAACCGAGACAATAGTCATATGAGCGCAAGAACACAGGAATGTACAGTTGTTATTATAGCGGTTAAAGCATGAACGAGTGAGAGTTTATGTATAGGTTTAGCAATTCAAAAGAGTGCATGTCTAGAATCAATTATGTAGTGCTCTCTATTTATATAACAAAGAAGGAGTGTAATAACAGAAAGATGGGTTGGAATTCGGAATAAACAAATTTTTCCAAATTCATTTAAATTTTACTTGAAATTATCGTTCATTCTTCGCTAAGTAAAGATGGTCAACTGTAATTTTGCTATAATGTAACCTGCTAATATTGTTTAATGATCGACCCGGCATTTGGAGATTGTCCTGTATAAAATAAAAAAAAATTGTAAAGTGAACAAATATTGTCAATATATGTAATAAATTCCCGCTAATAAGAACATATAACATTTATACCACAAATGTCCTACATCTCACTAATGTCCCTTGTGCTTGTCTAACATACCCCAAATACTATATGTGTACTTTTTGTCTTATCTCACTCATGCCACATGTTATAAACTGTCTTAGTGTTACCATTCTAAATAATTCGATATCCGCAAAATCGAATTCTAAAATCAGGTGTAACCAAAATTAAAACAAATATACGCCAAATCCAAACACTGGAATGAAATATTTGGATGTAACGATAGTACAGTCCATGATTCCATGATACATAACAAACACATTCGTCACGACCTGTAAACACTTGGTACTATCAATACAACGGGAATGATTGAAATTATTTGAATTATTAATTAACGTAACACAATTATTAATTTAACGTCATTATAAGGTGATCTCGAATTTATGATTAATAATTTAACGCAATTTAACATGATAAGGGGATCTCGCTTTTAATGATTTTCGCTTACTGCGCCGATCAGTCATTTTTAACGAAAAATCCCTGAAAAAAGCAATTTGCTGTATTACAAACTTGAAATCTTTGTAGATAAACTATTCTTTTGCTCTTGCACCTGTAGTGCTAAGCTGAGTTGTGTAGAGCAAAGTTCAAAGCAGCAAAAAAAAGTCACGAATATGCAAAATTTTTAAATCCTTGTATAAAAATTGTGTTCATCGTAAATACGTATATTATACTTGTCTTCGTTATTTTGCCCTTTTCATCAATTTTAGCTTTAATAATAAATAAAATTGATACTTTATCTAACTCTTTCTTATTTTTGACCTGATAATAAATATACAATAA